AACTCAGCAGACAAATAACAGAAAATGGAATTCATCCTTCTTCAGCAACGGATATGTTCCCTTGATTTAAATGTGATGTATTATGCTCCAATAGTATCCTCTGATTGCATGGCCAGCATCTTTTTCCACCACCTTCACTATAAGGATTTTGACAGATTCAACGGTGTCTGGCGATGGAATTGCATTCATTGTTGCGCAGGACAATAAGCCGTCCCCACCAGAAAGCTATGGCTCATTCATAGGAATCCTGGATCCATCAACAGAAGGTATTACCTGCGTACTTTAAGGTTTTCTCCCCTGCTACCCAGCAACTTATATACTCCTGTTTGTTTTGAAAAACAGTATCATTGTTTGTTACTTCCATTAGTAAGTGGTTCTCAGAGTACTATTTTCAAAGGAATTCAAATCCACAACTTTTGTTACTCATTGTTTGTCAAGTTTGATCACAATTTTTTTCTTTTAGAGAAATCCTTTCCACCAACAGATTCTGCTTTAAGATGTCAGCTTCCTAATCCACAAATGCAGNNNNTCAGCTTCCTAATCCACAAATGCAGGGGGTGTTCTTCATCAACTTGCAGTGGAGCTGGACACATACGAGAATGCACGGGAAATAGATGGAAACCATATTGCAATTGACACTACAAACATAGAAAATCCAGTTGCAGTAAGAAGTCTGAGTGATGTCGGGATTAATCTCAAGAGTGGAAGAAATATTACAGTTAAAATAGAGTATGATGGATGGAAGAAAATGCTCAAGATTGATGTTGCGTATGCTGGGAACACTCTAGTAAATTTTCTGAACCACAAAATAATCTTGAAAGATACAGTTCCACGGGAAGTTTATGTCGGATTTACAGCATCAACTGGCCACTTCTCAGAAATCCACCAGGTTCTTGATTGGAATTTCACATTATATGAATTGCCGAATGAAAGTCTGGATGAAGGGATTGCCCTAAATAAATGTAAAAGGGCGTTCGAGTTTGTTATCCCAATAAGTGTGGTTCTTTTATTAGCTGTTATGCCATTTGTGCTCAGAGCACGTAGGAGAAGAAAAGCGAGGCTTGGAAAGAGGGAAGACATTGAAATGCAGACGAAACTTGCAACAAATGCTCCAAAAAAGTTCACTTACAAAGAGCTTTCAAAGGCAACGCGCAATTTCAGCAAAGAAAATTTACTTGGGGCTGGAGGCTTTGGAAGTGTTTACAAAGGAGTCTTCACGAATTCTGATTATCCTTCACCTATTGCTGTAAAAAAAATAAATGCAACTTCGACCCAAGGTATACTCGTCTAATTATGTTAGAATGATCTGTTATATGTTTATTCGCAAGTGTTTGAATAGCATATTACTCGGTAATTTTTGAAAATTAGGTGAAAGGGAGTACTTGGCAGAAATAAGCACGATAGGACGCCTAAGGCACAAGAACTTGGTGCAACTACATGGTTGGTGTCATGATCGCGAGCAACTGCTACTTGTCTATGAATACATGCCTAACAGTAGCCTTGATCGTTACATAGGGAAGGAGTTTCTTGACTGGAAAATCAGGTACAAAATACTATCAAGTTTGGCATCAGTGCTGCTTTACCTGCACGAAGAATGTGGGAATCCTGTTGTACATCGCGATGTGAAGCCAAATAACGTGATGTTGGATTCAGAATACAATGCTCATCTCGGGGATTTTGGCCTTGCAAGATTACTCCACAACAATGCCTTTGTTACAACAATAGTAGCTGGAACAATAGGATATTTAGCACCGGAAGTTAGTTATACAGGAAGGGCCACTCCGGAATCAGATGTCTATAGCTTTGGAATCGTGGTTCTTGAAGTTGTATGTGGAAGAAGATCAAAGGGTATCATGGAAGACAACAATTTGGTAGATTACGTATGGAGTGCATATGAAAAGGGATCTATATTATCATGCGTGGATAAAATGCTTAAAGGAGATTTTGAGGAGGAACAAGTGGAGAGGACATTGATTATGGGATTGGCTTGTTTGCATCCGGATCAAATGCTTAGGCCTAGAATGCGAAAAGTGGTTCAAATTTTCATGAACCCTAATGAGCCAATCGTTAAATTGCCAGAATTCAGGCCGACTACAGTTTGTTTATCGTTTTTATCTTCTTCTTCGTCCTCAATTACATGTACTACAACCCATGATGTAGAAAGTTCAATGAGGTGTTCTCCAAACTAAATGACAGTTTTATATAATACAGGGGAAATTTAAACGCTCATGTTAGGAAATTGAAATATCATTGTTTCTTCCAACTTGACACGATTCTTTCAATGATGTATTGTTTGCTCAAAGAAAGAAAAAGGGCAAAAGAATGAATCGATAACTAGGCCTAAGCTTAGAGCAATATTTTGTTTTTATGCGTTTTCTTTCTTTTTTTAACCTAAAGCAAAATTTCTGTTGTAATTGAAATGCAAAAATGGGATTTATAATCAAATTTGGTGTACAGATGAGTTGCAGGCATCTGATATATAGATTCTAACAGGTTAGACTTGCAGATAAAAACCAATGCGTTTGCCGGGAGTCGAACCCGGGTCTATTGCTTGGAAGGCAATTATCCTAACCGTTGGACTACAAACGCGCTGTTGATCAAAAAGCATATTAAAGCTTAATCTGGACTTGCATTTCTCGTATTCTCAAACTCAATATTTTCTGCCATTCAATTTAATTCCAAATTGCAGTTTTCTTAGAAACATAAGATCTGATCATGTGATGTTACACATGAAAAAGATAAATAGATCGTTGATCCACATTAACATGGGAAAGGTCAAGCACAAGGACCATCGACTGACTGACCTCCACGAGGGGTTGACAATCATGTCGGTGGTGGTCGATTTACCATATTTAAAATATTTGTCGATTACGGTATATTCAAAAGTGGATAACTAAATGATATTATTTGTAATCCACCAAACAACTATAAAAATTTGGTGATAAAATCTATAATATAGCGAAATGGTCCAAAATAATTTTATATAAGATTTCCAGCTGCCACCAATTAGGGACTTACCTAACCATTTTAAAAAATAAAGATTTAATGAAATGCCAGTTTTTACATGCAGACTCAGATTTGTGATAATATAATTTTGAGGAAATTACAAAAAATGTCCGCGTTTATACAGTCATTTACAAAAATGTCCAAAATTTATTCAATGTCCATTTTCTAAAAATCATTGGTCAATAATAAATAGTGAAAGCAAATGAATCCATTCGATATTAGTTAGCATTAATATAACTTCTCATGAAAGCTACTTCTTCTTCTCAAAATTTGTAACAAAAAAAAAATTTGCTTTCATTTTTTAGGGCAATTTGATACCAAATTTGACTACTTTTGCAGAAGTTATCAAAATTAAGCACTTTTCAATTGACAAACATAGAATTGGACATTTTTGTAAATTTCCCTGTAATTTTTCAATTTTAGTTAATTCAAAGGGGTGTGCATCAAATCAAATGATTGATCACGTCTCTTCAAATCGTGCAGAGCGAAAAATAATTTATTTGACTTTAGTTCAAGAAAGAAATAATTTAATTAAGATTTAGTATTTACATTATATGTTGACCTTATCCTCAACAAAAATAATAAAACCCATTACATAATCTCCAATGCACCCAATCTTTGTGTCCCCTACAACGTGTGCTAGTCTAATAGTAATTTAGTCCACTTATGGTAGATTTTAACTTGACAAAAATAGTTTTTTTTCTATTAAAAAAAAATTGTTATTAAACCCGTCAATCTATTGAGTTCTTTTTCCCCAATATTTTGGGATGTTTTCAAAGACCGCCCATGTTCAAGTTTTACAATAACTTCAATTTGTCAATACAGTTACGATTAGCCTAATTCTAGTTGAATATTGTTGGATAGATCTAACTTTTGAATACTTAATCGAAGAAAAGACTGTCTAACAACTCGCTCGGAACTAAGAAGCGAGGATCAGACCAATATTATAAATTCGGTGATCAATAGGTAGCTTTATAAGAGAGGTTTCACTGTACCTTATCAGAGTTACATTCGAAGATCTGAAATTAGAGATGTGCTAATTGATACACATGGTGGGATATACTAAAGCCATTATGGACAAATATATTGACTTTCAAAATCCTAAAAGCAGGGGCACTACTAGTCGATCGTAAAGGAAGATGCCAAAAATCTAGTCGAGAGGCATGGAGTTTGTCTAGATGGATGTTGCCTGTTTTTTGACAATCATGCTATGGGGGTGGGGTGGGTAAATTTGTTGACCTTTTTATTGAGGTGGGACCCGTCTCATGTGAGAGGGTGTAGGGGTTCAACCCCTACCCCTGTACATTTAGCTTAATTCATTTTTTTTTTTAAGTTGTAAATGCGGTTGTCAAAAGAAAAGGTTGAAGATGAAAATGCAAAGGACCTTAGTGATCAGCGACGTTACCTCAAAGGTTGATATCATTTATCTATTAATAAATATTTGTTATGCATTTGTTGAGCCAAATCCACCAAAATGAATAAACCTTGTTTGGTTCTTTTCAAAATATTATTTTCAATCACAAATTTTTCAATAAAATAATATTCCATACAAATTCAAAATGTTTCTGTATTTTTTAGTAACGTATTCTTTATCAAAATATTATTCCAAAATGTATTTCGGCAAAAAATTAACGCAAATTGGCGCTAAAACTTGAACATAATAGATTTTTTTAAAGAAAAATTTATCTGGTAGTACGGTACTGTGTAGTGAAAAGATAGTGTCCTAAAGGAAAGGAAAGGAAAGGATGTCATGTCTTGGACTCCTTTTTGTGCACCTCTCCCGGGTCGTCTTCTAATAAATAAGCTCCCCAGGCAGGCTTCTCTTCTCCAAGATTTGCATTCAGCACCGACAATGGGGAAAGATTCAACTTTTGGAGATGGGGTACTGAAAAAGATCGTCCTCTCCTACACCTATGTCGCCGTGTGGATCTTCCTCTCCTTTACTGTTATAGTCTACAACAAGTACATTCTTGACCGTAAACTCTACGACTGGCCATTTCCCATATCACTAACCATGATTCACATGGCTTTCTGCTCTTCCTTGGCGTTTATAGCCGTCCGGGTGCTGAAGCTCGTAGAGCCTGTTTCCCTTTCTCGCCATGTCTACCTCACCTCAGTTGTCCCCATTGGTGCCCTCTATTCGCTCTCCCTCTGGCTGTCAAACTCTGCTTATATTTATCTATCTGTCTCATTTATCCAGATGCTTAAGGCCCTTATGCCTGTTGCTGTGTATACAATTGGAATCCTTTTCAAAAAGGATGCTTTCAAGAGTAACACCATGAGCAACATGCTTGCCATTTCTCTCGGTGTCGCAGTTGCTGCTTATGGTGAAGCCAAGTATGATTCTTGGGGCGTTTTTCTCCAACTGGGTGCGGTTCTTTTCGAGGCTACAAGGTTGGTTATGATTCAGATCTTATTGACTTCAAAGGGGATAAATTTGAACCCAATTACTTCACTTTACTATGTTGCCCCCAGTTGCTTGGCCTTTCTTTCCATTCCCTGGATTATAGTTGAGTACCCAGTGCTGAAACAGAATTCGGGCTTTCATTTTGATTTCGTTATTTTTGGGACTAATTCACTGTGTGCTTTTGCGTTGAACTTGGCTGTTTTCTTGTTGGTTGGAAAGACTTCGGCTTTGACCATGAATGTGGCTGGAGTGGTGAAGGATTGGCTGCTGATTGCGTTTTCATGGTCCGTGATTAAGGATACTGTGACGCCTGTGAACTTGTTTGGGTACGGATTGGCATTTTTAGGCGTCGCCTATTATAATCACTCGAAATTGCAGGCTTTGAAGGCGAAGGATGCGCATAGGAAGGTGCAAGCAGCAGATGAGGAAGCTGGAAAATTGTTGGAAGAGACAGAAGGAGATGGTACGGAGAAGAAGGGAGATGCATAGGTGCAATTGGAAAATTATTGAGTCGGGAAGCAAGTAATTGAAATAAACTAAGAGGTAGGAGTGGATCTGGGATTTGAATTGGTTGTCTGATGAATCTTGAAATGTGGTTTAATTTTGTTGTTCTTGGTTCTGGCCTAAGTAGTGTAAAAATCTCGATTGCCTTGTATCTCTTTTCGAATTTTTACCTACATTTCCCCTGTTTTCCTTCCTTGTTTAAAATAGACACATTACTTTTTGCTTTTTACTTTAGTGAACCATCCAGGCTTATGCGAATTGATCATTGTTTTCGAAGTTACTTGTTTTCATTTATCCCATTTTTGTGTCGATTTTCCTTAATCATATGGTGTTCTTGATCTTGATTCAAGATTGCTTAGATGTGATAGTAGTAGCAGCAGCACAAATGTTGGTAAGTAGCATTTGTTGAAAGTGAGAATATTGAGAATCCAAAAGGATTAAGTCAAGTGAAACAAGAAAAAAAGTATGGTTTGATTTTCTCTACGGATTTTGAGTGAAAAGTGTTCTTAAAGTTTATACCGGGAACTCAATTTCTGTACAAGAAACACAGTGATCTTATAAACTTAAACATAAATGGATGTCTTTGCTGAAAGGAATAGTTTGTTAAGTGTGGAAATTGCGTGCCGTTACGAATACGGTGGAGTGGCGAAATGGCCTCAAAGAAAACTCCGGATTTATCGTATTGACTTTAGACTTATTTAATCCAAGTTGAGGTATCTTAGCTGGATTACCTGTTAATATACTTTTCAATTAAATGGTTTTTGGTAATAGAGATCTGAGATCTAAGAAAAGAGTATTTTAGGAAGTATAGATTATCTAACACCTTAATTTCCTCGTTTTTTCTTTTAAGATTCTTCTTTCTTCCTCCCATGGCATAACCTTTTGTTTCTTATCCACATCTGGTTCGTAAATTTCTTCTGTATGTGTTTAGTAATAAATATCCTTTTTAATATTGTGAAAGTCGACTTTGAATACCAGGAGGAAGTATTATGTGCCTTTATCAACTGGTTAGGTAGTACCTAGAGAAGGTTGCAACATGCTAGAAATTTTGGCTAGAAGTCAAAAAGTTAATGTGCGGTAATGGATTCATTACAGATCTTGCTACTTGTACATCAAAATTGTACATAAAGGGTTACATGATATGACGTGGAGGGAAAAGATTAGATGAAAAAGTTGACCGTGTTTTAAACTGGCAAATAGTAGAGTACCATGTGGCATTATGTAACCCATATTGTAACATTTGATGTACAAGTAGCAAGATCTGTAATGGATTCTGCGAAAGTGGCACTACATTGACGAACACAGGCAAATTTGAGGTGTGAAGGAATATTAGTTGCGAGTGGAGTTAACTCGGGAAGTATTGTGTGTTTTATTTGAAGCCGGGACCGTGAGATGGAGTCTGAAAAGGATTGGAAAAGGAAGGTGAATCAATCCAAAAAAATTCTGCTTGGATGGTTAGCTGGCATGGCTTGTTTTTATTGTGTGAAAAGGTTTCTAAGCCTTTCTGGCGTTTGGAACTTTCTTCTTGTGGAGTTTTGATCGGACACGAGCCATTGTTAGCAAATAGCAAGACGCAATTAATTACTTGAGGTTGAAAGCCTCCTTGGACAGTGACTTTCAGTAAAAACGAGACTCGTTTACACAAATCATGGACGGTTTGAGATTACCGGGGTGAGTTTCTCGTTTGAGTAATGGAGAAAATTTTAGTAATTAAGCGGTGTTAGTCTTTCAAGTGTGATCTAAACCATTATATGATATTCAACTACCAGCAGTAAAGTCTTCATTAAAATGCCAGTTGCTGATTCTTGGTAGCAGCATAAATTTATAATATAGAACTGCCTCGAAGTTGACTCTTAGGAGGGATTTCTACGCACTATTGATTAAATTCATAATTTTTGTCTCATCTTCTTGTTAATTATTGAAGGCTTGTACTAAATTTTCAAATCTCGAGTGGACAGGACACCCACACTTTTAAATTCCTACCGAACCCTGAAATTGACTTCTATCATAGTGGTGAGGTTTGGCAACACTAATATTGCAGTTCCCCTTTCTTTGGCTAATTCATTACTAGGGAGAAACTAGTTGAGTAAGAGGAATTTGGAGACGATGACAAAGCAGGAAACACAAATCGATGGTAACAGCGGATGTGTTTGACACGTAATTAATCTTATTCAACCTAATGTATCGAACAAATGACAATCACGATCGTATATGACAAATTTGAACTCGAAATATTTTTTTACATACGTGACTTGAATTGGACGCAGGCACATAGTTAAAGAACATGTTACTATCACTAGGCAAAGTTGCTTGGTTTATGTTTATAACTAGAGTATTGTAATTCATAAGCAGTGCTTATCGATTATCGATAATAAGGATAAGTAGTGATAATGAATAACATTATTCTCCTTAATATGGGCATGTAAGTTGATTAATACGGTCGAGTTTTGGGCCTGGGCTTGGATTTGGAAATATATATTGAATGGACCCAAAATGAGTCAATTCTTCATCGGGCCAGATCCATATCAACTCCCAGATGGATTATAACTGGGCCTAGTATATTTGACTCTCTCAAGTTGTAATGTTTAACAGGCCAGAGGTATGTGCCTAAGATATGTGACTTGTATTATTAATCGTCACTTAAAATGAATGAAACTCAACTTGCTACCAGAATTCTTTACATGAGCAAAACCCATCTTTGAAATGGTGAAAGCGGTTTCTGTCTCGTACCACTATTTCTCGATTATATATCTTAGATATGAACTTAGTAGCAGTGTGGCATTCTGTGCAAACTCGTAAATTCTTGACCATTCGAATGGTCGTTCCAGGAGGTGTTTTAAGGAGTGCAAAAGCAATAGCCAACTTTTCACTGTGCCTATTCAAAGCACCCTCCTTGTCTTCTTCATCAATATCAAGTAACACCTCTGATGTTGTAATGACATATCCAGCTCTTTTCATCTCTTTCTCCATTTCATCCACCATCTCGTAAATCTTTTTGTATTGGCTGTGACTTTTATCACCTGCAACAAACTCATAAATTCCATCGTCAAGCTCAATCATAGTGCTCCCAGGTACCTTGCTAATCCCCTTCTTCTCCATCACTTCCCTTACTGTGTTTTTCATTTCCCAGTTCAACATTTTAGCATAAATATTGGAAAGTAGCACGTAATTGGAGTCGTGCATCGGTTCATTTGTGATAAGCTCCTTGGTTATTTTTTCCCCAAGATTCAGCTCACTGTGAACACGGCAAGCAGTGATCAAAGTTCTCCAAATTACAGGATTTGGTTCAATAGGCATTCTATGTACAAATTCCATAGCCTCTTTCACTTGTCCAGCCCTGCTTAACAAATCAACCATACATCCATAATGCTCTATCCGTGGTGTAATGCCAAAATCATTAATCATAGAATCAAAATACCGCTTCCCTTCCTTGACTAAACCAGAATGACTACAAGCATTGAGCAAACCAATGAATGCAACATCATCCGGAGCCACTCCGGTTTGTCTCATCTCCTCAAACAACGAAACTGCTTCCAAACCACGGCCGTGCATTGCCATGCCCACAATCATCGAAGTCCAAGAAACAGTTGTCCTCTTACTTTTGCTCATATTCCTAAACAATCTCAGTGCCTTATCAACATCAGCACACTTGGCATACATGTCGATTAGTGCATTACAAAGCTCTGAGGTCTTTTCAATCTTCTCCTTCTCGACATAAGACTCCACCCACCTCCCAAGTTCAAGTGCACCCATATCTGTGCATGCTGACAGCACCGTCACCATAGTGAACTCATCAGGTTTCACTCCAGCAATCTGCATTCTCCTAAACAACCTGACAGCTTCACTCGACATCCCCCACCGCACGAACCCACCAATCATAATGCTCCAAGAAACTGGCTCACACTTGGGCATTTCATCAAACAACTTCTCGCCAAAATCAATTCCATTTTTACAACTACAATACATATGAACCATAGTGTTCAGAACATGAGTATCATAACTAAACCCTAGTCTCACAACCGATCCATGAACCGCTTGGCCTAAACGCAAGTCCACAATGCCAGCACAGGCCTTAAGAACGAAAGGGTATGTGTACTTATTAGGCCTAATCCCATAGCTAAGCATAAATGTGTAGTAATGTATAGCAGTGTGCTTGGAATTTTCAGTCTCTGCATATGCTTTGATGAAGGTGTTGAAAAGGAAGGTATCATAACACTGGGAAGTGGGTTCTGGGGAGAAAATGACGGAGGAAGCATAGTGAACGGCTTTGAGATGAGAGGAAACGGAGGTGAACTTAGTGAGGACTAAAGGATTAGCATGGAGACCAACTTTAACAAGTTGAGCATGAAATTGAGTGAGTTTTGGCAGAGAGTTGCAGAGTTGGAGAAGAGAGAGGCAATTCTGTTCTACTGCTCTCTCGCTAGTGGTGAAAATTGATGAGTGTAGGAACCGGAGAAGCTTGGCTGAGTGTCGCATTACTTTGTTGTTTCAGCCTTCTCAAAACTTCTCGACTTGTACCCACTTATGTCCATCAGTTCTATGGCTTAGCCAAGCATGTTTGAAGCTTTTAAAAGTTGCTTTTATCTAACTTTTTTCTCCAAGTACAACGACCCCAACCCCGGATATGTGCCCAAGCTGTTAGGTATATATATTATCTGTCTTGTAAGTCTCTATCCATGTTACGCTTCACGGTTTTATATCGCATTCCAAGATTCGAACTCAAAACATTTGTTTTATAAGAGATTTAAGTTGAATCCTGATACAAATTAGTACATATGACTAATGGCTTAGGCACAGGTCGAGGTCGTTACAAGAAAAGAGCATTTTTTTGTGCCTTATTTTGGTCATATGCATAATGCAGAATTTTTTTCTCATCGGACCATTCTTTATGCAGGTTGATTGAAATTATAACTTGATACTGTTCGGTATCTTCATTCTTGCATAAAGGTCCAAAGATTGTTAATGCTACAACCATTCGTATTTAATCTCGTGTATCCCTTCTCTAGTTCTGTTCCTATCTCGACATAACGAACCCTGTTGTGAAGTTGTAAAGGCGCAATACAGAAGTGCATAAATGAAGTCCAGTTACTTTTAGAGTATAAATTGCTGGTTTAACCATTTTTCTTCTCCTAGCAGTAGTTGTTATCGCGAATAGGATCCAGCCTGTTTAATCTCCTTGACTGAACCACAGACTTGTTTGTAGTTTTGTATGGGGTAATTAGCAGAAATGGTCCCCAACGTTTACACTCTTTGCTAAAATGGTCCCTATCGTTTTAAAATTGGTATTTATACCCTTATTTCAAACGTTTCTTGCGGAATTAGTCATTCCATTCATAAACCGCTAAACATCCGTTAAAACCTTTTGATAATTTGCAGAAATGGTT